ATGGCACAACAAGATAGATATGTAGGTACGATGGTAAATGGGTAGCAGAGATTTTGGAATTAAAGGGAGTAATGTATTATAACACATGCACGAAACATGACGACTTATATACACTACTTAAGGCTAACGTGTTGATTCGAAGCTATACCTACTTGCTTATAGCAAATACAATAAAACCAAAGGCGATGCACGTGAACATTGTTTTCGCAGACTGTAAGGAAAGGTTGCGACACTTCAGGGGTGGACAACCCCGGACAATTATACAAACTTTGATTGTTTACCCAAAAATGTCAAATTTTACTTTCTGTCCAAAATATTTATTCCCGACTATTTTATTTACATTATCTGGTACAATTTCCTTAGGCAATTTAAAACCTGAAATACAAACATTTCCCCTCCGCACTAGATTACTTTGTTGTCAAACACTGACACAGTTTCAAACTATTTTTTTTTAATCTCAATCCTCAATTTTCTATTTACACATCTAGTGTCCAAAATTGAATAAATTATTTGTGAAGTTTATTTCCTAATTTAATATTTCTTTAATAATTAACAATAAATAACGCCACTTTTTCTTTTTACAACCACATCATAATACGTAAGAGGTATAATTTCAACTCAGTTAGAACGCTTTCACTGTTTAATACTAGGTAATTCAAAAAGGGAAAACTAAAATTTTTCTTTCCTTGTAATTGGGTTGGAGAAGAAACATTTACATTTATTAAGTCGATTATTCTCTTCTCGGCTGTAGGTATATGGTCCTTCCCATTCTCTTTGTAATTTCGGATATAGCCCGCGCCTCCTTTGGGGACGAGACAACCAAACCAGATCTTCAGGTTAATAGCCACCAACTTGGGCCTTAACGTAGTACTCCACTTTCATTCTATCGCTTGCCAACTGCATATTATGGCGACCTTTATCATGGGTGGCACCTAATTTCTGACGTAGGTTTTCCACGTATTCGTTCGCCACATTTATTCTTGGCTAGGTTTTGTACCAAGTTTCAAATCACCCCGAGTTCCCGACTAAACAACACGGAAGTTGTACTTTCTCCTGTCGTTTTCAGCACCACAGAACGGTTCGTCATTAAAAACAAATGTTGATATTGATCCCAATCGAGCTGGTGCCCGAACACAACTTTTTACAAGCACTTCCCCATTGTCCTATTCAGGCGTTATACTATTCCGTCTGACTGCGGCACAAGCTTTAGAACAGCGCCGATTCAAAATTTCGTCCCTGGGCAGCGTGTAGTTCCAGAGGACTTCAAATCTGCTAAAAAGTTCTTTTACTAGAACATCTGCTACATTTGTCGTTTCTTGGTTTGGTAGGGCATAGGTTTCTGTCCAACACTACCTCGAACATAAATGCTTTGTCTTAGAAATTGCCTTAAAAAAATATCACATTCCTATTTAAAGAACCATGACAGTTCCTAGTTATAGACTGTGTAGGCATACATTTATAAAGAAGGTTTCAGTGATAGAATACCTTCTTTTGCCTAGAGGTAGTTTGGGAAAAGAAGAAAACAAAACATAGGTAAGCATAGAAAATAGCAAATTACAATCAGTTCCCTCAAACATCCAACCAGTATAATGTATGGATATATAGTTCATATTAGACATTGATGTTTTACATAAATTGCACAGTATACTGCGCGGCGATTTTTCTTCAAATTTCAATTCCCTCCAAAGTAGTCTCCTTGATGATGCACACACTTCTCTCAGCGCTCCCGCGACTTTTGGAAACACACCTGGGATGCAGTTTTTGGAATGATGTTCACCCGGGCAGTCGGATTCCGTATGATATCTTGACTTGACTCAAATCGGTGCTCTTTTAGCTGCATTTTCAGCGTGGGAAATAACCAAAAGTCAGACGGGCCCATGTCGGGTGACGAACAGCAGGAATGTTGTGTTTGGCTAAGAAAGCCAAATTTAAATTCGCATTAAATGGTGCGTTATCGTGATGGAGTTGCCAAATTTGCGTACTCATCATACTACACCGTACACCGTACAATTCCAACATGACCTTGACATTGCTGCGAACCTGCTGTACTTTTTTTGCCTTCGTGGATGACGGATGTTTCCACTGTGACGACTGAATCTTTCTTTTCTGGGTCCCGATAAACCCATGACGCATGTCCTGTGCGATGTACAGGCGGCATTGCTTCTGCTCCATTGTTAGCTACCCTGCTCATGTCCAAACCCTCTGTGAAAATTATATGAACCAATCCAATAATTACGCCTAATCTCCGTTGCATTTTTGGGACTGCGATACGACGACCCTGCATGTTCACAGTCCGCACTTGCTCATTAACAGTGTCATTTCGGAATGTTGAAGGTCAGCCAGAACGCGATTCGCTGTCCATTGACGTGCGGCCATCTTCATCACCAAAGAAAGTCTCACAGTAAACTGACATTAGTTAATGCAGTTAATGTATGTCATTTAGGTTGCATAAATTGGCTCATGCTTTGATGTGATCCATTAGAAAAACCGTGTACGTATGTATGGACTTCAAAGAATATGTCTTTACGTTTTAATTTTAAACACGTTTCAACATTCCAACTTTTTATTTATAGTTTAACATTTTGAGTACAATTTTATCTATTAACGATCCTCGAGATCGTTTATAATTTTGTATTGCTGTCTGTCTGACCGTGTGCACGATAACTTTGATTAGAAATGTCCGATCGCTTTGAAAATTGTTACTCATATTTTAAAGATTTAAGAAAGGTCGGCATTGTTTCTCAGCTACGTAGTTGTAAAAATGATGGATGCGTGAAGATCTCGATGATCGTTCGGTATTCAGTTGTCTAGGATTATTTTTATAATGCTAATATGTACACAAAGGAAGAAAAATGTTCATGCTGAATTGGTACAATGGCCCTGGGTAATGGTTTAAGAAATAATAATAATAATAATATATGTTTATTTCTCAATATAGTAACATGTACTACAATAAAAAAGAAAATTAAACTTGTAAATAAATCATATTGAAAAATATTAGGGGTCCCATAGACAACGTCCGTGGTGAGACCTCCCTCATGTATTGCATAATATATACCCGCGAAAAGAGAATTAGAGCCAGTCATTCATAATAAGAAAAACAAACAATATAATAATAAAGAATAAAGCTGAAAAAGATTACGGATTACATTTACTAGCAGTCTTTAAAATTTGAGTAGAGCTGAGAATAAAATAACTTGTAAACTATGATCATAAAGTAACATAAAAATAATTTCAGAGAATCCAAAAAGAAAAGCATATATAAAGCATAAAAAAATCATGAGAAATATTTACGAATTATGTACGTGGTGTGTATATAGGACTAAATAAACGATAACTACTCGTAAACGATAACCGGGTTTAGTATCACCTGCCAACTTGTGAAAATTGGCAATTAACATTTATTACCTTTTGTACCTATATGAATACTCGTGTTTAATTCAGATATTACGATAAAATAAGCCCCAAATTTCTAAATTTTGAGTGGCATTGATGCTATTAAAATATCCTCCGTTTTAAAAGTATATATACATAGGAAACGTATACGTATATGTATCCTTTTAAAATAAAAAAAAATTTAGTAGCACAAGCGCAATATCAAACCCGGGCCAAACAGCACACGCTTAGTGGGACGTGAATGAATAAGTAGCAATTTGGAAATATAAGTATAGATGATGGTATGTTGCTACATAAGGAGTAAGAGAAAATCAAAACGAATATAGGGGTTCAAATCTCACTTGCGTGGTTGATTGCGATCTTAGAGATGGGGTGAATACTTAGTAAGGGTACACTAGGCATTATAAAAGAGATAGCACACATTAATTTAATGAAAACAGTTATTTTAAATAAGGGTTAGGTATCTAAAGGTATGACTCTCCGTGCTTTTAAATAGGTACCCTTCTATGTAAGTCGTTTATGCCAATATTATCTTATATCAACAGTTACGGTAAGAAAATCTGTAATAAATCTTTCTAATTGACGCTAGTTATAAAGCTCTATATCATTTAAGAGTAGACATGTATGCATGAACGTAAATTGAATCAAATTTAAAATTGAGTTGGCGCGTAAATATAACATACCTACCCAATTAGAGATGTCGTGCTAGAAGGCAATGATGGATTCAAAATTAAGTTTCACGGAGTGAAAAAATTTATAGGCGTACGTACCATATAAGTAACAATTGTGTTGATTTCGTTTGAATTGGTAGCCGATTACGTTTCAATATCGATATCTTCTTCATTACTTGCCCTGCATGCTCTCATTTTACATATCGCGATGCACGAAGATTACTAAACGACTTTTAATGCTCTAGCTCATGCTATTAACGAAATATGTTTTCCTCAAGTCATAAAATGCATCTAAGTAGCCTGTGTGTCTAGGGAAATATCTCAATCTGCTTCCACGCACGCAATTATCGATTGTCTCATAAACATCGCAAATTCTATGAACTCGGACATAAAGATAAATTAATACGAGTCTTATTAATGTACGAGTCCGATGCACTTGGTGCAATGGTTGGTGATTCGTTTATCCAGATAAATACCAACATAAATAACGCGTGGCTTCCAAAAGTGTACGTGATTAATCACGCCCGTATTTACTGCACGGCTACAACTTTTGAGTTATTTCATTGTCGGATGAGTTATCTCTTATACATATCCTTGATCCTGGTCGGTCTCACTTCGGTAGGTATTTATTCTTTTTTCTACCACTATCAAGCAGACCATAACAGCGGGAAGCTTTAGTTGAGTACACCGAATCCTCCATTTAAAAATTGTGCAACTGCCATAAGAAATTATAGATGCTGTCAATATTCGCCGAAGATTAATAACAGTATTGGATTAAAAGTCTGACCATAATAAAGAAAAACGACCACTTCTATAATATATTCTAATAAATTTTAATAACAACACTCTAAACTGCCTCATTAGATGTTAACAATACTTTGTATATTTTATTTTAGTTTCTTCACTTATACTAATGTGATTTAATACTTTCAGGTGCTAATGGACTTCGTAGGAGAGGACGTCAAACGTATACACGGTACCAAACCTTGGAGCTAGAAAAAGAATTCCACACCAACCATTACCTTACTAGGCGACGGCGAATAGAAATGGCACACGCGTTATGTTTAACAGAAAGACAAATTAAAATATGGTTTCAAAATCGAAGAATGAAGTTGAAAAAAGAAATACAGGCCATTAAAGAATTAAATGAACAAGAAAAGCAAGCACAAGCCCAAAAGGCGGCGGCTGTAGCCCAAGGAGTAGGAGGTCAAGTTGATCAAAACTAGTGGATTGCTTATTCTCCGATTTCGGTAGCGGTGCAACAGTCACTTCAGTATTGCAAAGGTTAGTGTCACTATATCTTAATTAGCGATAAGTTCGTATATCCGAAGATGTGACTCTTTTAAATTTATTACCAGCGGACTCTAGAAACCATTTATAATATTGCACCTGTTTAGTATGCAACTTTAGCCTAGATATGTCAGAATATGTAGAGAAGAAAAATTTTTCGTTCGGAAAAAATAATCAATGTAATTTTGCAGAAATAAACTTGTTAACTTAAGTTTATAGTTCTTGTTAAGTGTTTTGAGGTTTTGTTTACGACCGCTCTTTACAATCAAGTCGTTAGGCTACCATTGAAGGGGACTAAAGTGAACAAGATGGCCATCAAAACTGATTCCGGTCGATTTTATGGTGTAGTAGGGAGTTCCGGGTTAGATTGTAAATTTCTTATAGGTGCAGCAGTTCACTTTGCTACACATTTCTGAAATCGGGCTGTTATTGGAAAAACCTGTAAGGGTCGCCCTTTTTATTTCTACATCTGCAGTCGTTTCATTGTCGTCACTTACGAATGTTACTGTCGATTATTATTATGAGAGCCCTAGATTTGCAGAATTCATTTCTAGCCCGGTTCGTCGTATTAAACAACCTAAAACTTAAAGCAGAGATGAGAGCCTCGTCGGATTAAAGTGTTAGAATAGTTACGCAACGTGTCTACTGTTTCTAATTTACAAGTTTTAGGAGTTTGTGTCTTGAATATTCACACTTATATAGGTATCTAGAATCCAAATTTAACGTACTGCTGTTATAGTTAATTATTTATAAAAGCAAACTAATTTACAATGACGAACTATACTTATCGCATAAATCCTAATATCGAATTAATGAAAACGAATTATTTAAAAAATTGCCTACCCCTAAGAAGTATGGGTGGAAAGAAAATTAAGATAATTGTATTTCCATTCGGTATTTGTAATGCTTAGGAATTTATGCACGGAATTTCGGTACTTAATCTTGGAGTGGAGAAAATCCCCTTGCGTAATTACTTGGTGTGAAAGATGGCGCTTGGGTTGCATTCTGGCGTGAGTTTTGGCGCTGCTTTGCTCATATACATAGAGAACCAATAATGCACCCTTTTTTACTTATCTTACGCCGAGATAATGCGAAAGAAAAAGAAACCATTAAGATATTCTAAATTACTTAGGTATTTCATTCTGTATAAATCGTGATAACGCTTTAAGGGACGAAGTTTACAAAATAATATAATAATAACAAGCAATATAGGTATAATGGTGTAAAAATTGGGTATATTTTCCTTGTCATTTCTGATTTCTATAATTTGATTTAGAAATCTGATTAACCATGTTAAAAACGGACCATATAGCTTTAAAGAGAATGGTCCATTATAATGCGCAATTTCATTCAATGTTGGCACAACTATTTCTGCAAATTAAGGCAACACAATGTCTAATATCGTAGTAAATTAAATGTGTGCAACACGTCACGAAATGGTGATATTGCTGTAAATAATTACGGGCGATCCCCCTTCTGTATGCATATTGACTTGTTATTTCTTAACAATCGTACGATTAGTTAGCTTCACATTGATTTGATTTGTCTCATAACTCTAACAACCCTACAGAGACTAAAAAGAAACTTTCAGCTAATACGTTCTTTTTCTATTTACGTCATGTTCACAAAAGCAAATATCAGACGAATACGTCTATACCACCGTGGTCCTACCTATACCTACTTACCTAGGTACTATTTATAAGTTGATCAAGAAACTGTACACAATTTATATAAAGGACCCTTCACATTTAACACAGCATTTTCATTATTCCGATATGCTCGTAACTTGCACGTAGGTAACTCTTTCAATCAGGACAGGCAAATTTAAACTAAATAGGTAGGTACCATTTTAAATTTTACGTTTTTGTATTGTTGATAATTTCTTACTCCACAAAGACAGATGGACGGACGAACCTATAACAACAGCATACTTTTTGTAATTGGTTGAAATCCACTAATCTCGAATCCGAGTCATTAGCATGACTTAAAGAATTTTTCAAACCAGATTTCATTTACCAGCAAATAACCAACACCGGAAGCAAGCCTGTAGCATCCATTCAATATTCACATTCAACCCAAAAATTGTTATCGTAAGATTTCCATATCGGCGAGTTTCCGCCAACAAAATAATTGTAAACCTAGGTTAGTTGTATTTATTCTGTTTAGGTATTTCGCCACGTTTATTGGATACCTTTAAAAACCGCTGTGAAAAGAAATCTGTAGAATATTTGAAGGTAAATTTTTAGTTATGGGTCTGAAAGCATTCAAATAAGTTAAAATTTTTGTATTTTGCAAGTAAAAACAACCTTGAATTTAGTGTGTTCCTAGTTTTCATTTTATCAGGAATCAAAAAGGAGGTTCTGTTATTTTTTATATTGAATTGAACCAAATTCAATGGTTTATTTATTCCATATTTTGTCATGTTAATAAAGAATAAAAAAATTAGTTACGATGTAAAAGTGCTGACTTGTATTATTAAAAAAGTTAAGGTATTTAGCGGTAAAAAATGAGATGGCCATTTCAAAGTACATTTTATTAACCAAATTGTAACAGGTAAAAATACTAGTAAATGAAATTTTAATGTGAAGGGGTGATGCACTCTTAATGACATTTTCTGATTGTGTGGTAAAGTTTGGTTAAAAAAAAGAATAAAGCTAGCCGTCGCCGTTAAACTTTTTTGTAACACAGTTTTTGAATAAGTTTTCATTCTTATTAAAAACCAAAGGAAATTCTCAACCCTATTTGCAACAAAGTCATTTGCAAAATGTCATCCAAAAGTGTGGCTTTAGCGTGAAAACTGTTGCAAGGTTGTGCACAAAAAATAATATAATAATTTAGTAAACAGTTTGAGTCATTAGAAAAAAAAGTTCGAAATTTTTTTTCAAAAATTTGTTCCGTTATTTTTCGTTTCAGTATACCTAATATACATATCCAAAATATGAACAAAATCCGTCGAGAGGTTTAAAACATTTGTTAAAATTTTGACATGTCCAAAAAATGGTGATCGCAAAAGTTACCTAGCTCAAGCTAAAGATACTCCTTGTATTATAAAGAAGAAAGATGATTATTAGGCTATTAGGGAGAGCCATATGGAGAAAAACAATTCAATGGTGATTTCAAGAACTAGGTCGGCGCCCGGTTAATTTTGAGTACTCAATAAAAGCTCCTGCCTCGGTTGTCCCGCAGATTTTTGAAGTTGAGGAGAGCATCGGTTCCTTACACTCTGATACATCTGCGCTTTGCGGTCAATAATTAATGTTCAGTACATTTAAATATTAAAATGGCGAATTTCTTTGAAATAGCTCTCAATCTGAGATATCCATACCTAACTTATTTCTGACAGAATTTAATTAGGTAGTTTGTTTCGATCTTTGATTTTTCACATTTATCGAGTACTATTATTCTTGAACCGCTCGAGAAAAATAAGTGAGTGTGTGACTTTCTCATCGGTGATTCGCTCGCTCACCAAATTTCGTATTCTTGACACTAAATTAAAACCGCCAGTTTGGATTTGCCAAAGTGTGATTCAATGCGCTTGCGTTTGCCATTTACTGGAATCAATTTAAATTTAAAAGTAAATTATGTCTTGCCCTTCAGAAGAGCAAAAACTCATGCTACTATCTGCATTAAAAAGACAAGTATAAATTGTGCACAGGTCTTGTGCAGATAAAGCGCATTTTTTCCGACAATCCGTTCTTGAGGTATAAGGGAAGATACACGATCACGATAAGAGGTCCAGGAGGAGGGCTATGGCTGGTAGAAATTAATTCCTTTCGTTGAGACCTTTCATTAGAGTACCATGAAGGATAAAACTAGTTCCACTCCACCAGCCCCCTTTTCCCTCCCCCGTACTTTGATAAGAGGACAGAAAGAAGGGCAGTAGTTGGTAGAAAATCGTGGAGACCTTTAATTAGAATACAATGAGAGATAAAATTAATTTTTAACCGCCCCCGTCTCTCACTGATCTCGAAAAAGACAGCGAAATTTAACGGCCGTCTCACGTCTCGCAGACCTTCAAGGTATAGGCTACCTACTTAAAAAAATTCCAGGACTCTAGGACCATTCCCCTAGAAGTTGTACAAAACGGTAGAAGTGGGTCCGGACGGGCGGATTATATTGTGGACGTCAACATGAAAATAAACCCATTCATTTAAGTTTAAGTGGTTATTATTTATAAACGGTAGAAGATAGACCTATGGCATAACCCAGTTTACTGCTCTACAATTTCTCTTGAAAAAAATGAGCATGATCGTGGTTTTCATAAGAAAACACAAAATTCTATTAGCAGAAACGCGATATACTGAGCCGAGGCGTTACGTCTCCTTCTCACATTGCATCTCATTATTTTACACCGTAGTTCGAAAAAATAAGTAAGTAGATCATATTCAGAGTAATGCAACATTTTGTGACTGGTCTGAATTAAAATTACGGCCCTCACAATAGACGAATTGTTATGTTCATGTAGAGCGAGTTTTCTTAAAGTTGTAATTTTGGGAACGGAAAACGACTTTACTTGTATGTGCATTTAGTTACTTGTGGATCATGTATAAACAACAAAATCAAACAAGGAAACAAAAATATTTGAATTACCCACCATAAAAATCTCAGGTTTTTTGTCATTCACCGCATTGGCGGATCTCTTCGTTCTCCTGTACATTCGTTACAAATGTTACTTTAGCTGACCCCAATGAATATTCTTTTTTCAGCAAATTAAACTCTAGATAGATATGAGCAAGGTCCTTTTATTTCATGGTGTTGATACAGTTAGGTTTCATTTTAAGGTGTATAGGTACAGGGACTAACACTTTTTATTTTATTAGCGAATTGCAAGAAAAACGCAGATTGTTTCACTTCGAGAAACACAAATTCAATAAAAAAGTTCCGGCAAATTTAGGGTTTTAAAAACATTAAACACGTTATAAGAACAGGGGTGCTAGCAATTATAAAATTTAGGTAGTTCGTCATCGTTTTTATATTTATTGTTATCCGGGAAA